AAGAGATTTTCAAAGCCGAAAACAAGAATGAAATCTCGAAAGAGAGAAAAAAAAGGTGTGCATAGCTCGTGCTGATAACGTGTTATAAGTCAACCATCAAAAGCTATCATTCATTCACATGTAGCCACATATATATACAAGGGAGGGGGAGCTAGGGTTACAATCATGATATGGGCTATTGCATATGGGCCTATGATTAATGGACATCTACTTAATTACATAACAAAACATATCTGATGAAAGATTTGATGCCAAATTAAGTTATACGTTATACGGAGTATGTACACGGGGAGAAAAAATTTATTACCAAATTTATTACAACACTTTCCTTGACGGTGGAAACAATAATTACTATTACATTTTACAATAATTTCCATTATTGTTCCCTGAAACATTTTGGGAGGGATTTTTCCTTCCAATTGTGGTGCAGACACTATTACTCAATATTATATAATGATTTTAAATATAATGTTTTAAAAAATCAGCAGAATTAGCCAATCCAGCAACTTCAGTCAAAACTTCAAAAACTTCACCAGAATCAGCCGATTCAGTCGGTTTCTATGTTACCAAACGAACTCTAAGTCATCTCTATGTGTTCTTTTAATGAGCTATCATTTTCGCTAGTCATAAGTCATAAAAGTGATACAGTAGTCACTGAAATTTAAGCTGACAGTTTCGTTTATAAATTATGATGATAAATTTTATTTTAGTAATTTCGTTACAAATTAGTAGCAATCTTGAGATTTTGTTATTCCATTACCGCATCGTTGTGTTAGTGAAAGACTTGTTTCCAAATTTAACTTAATAAACTCATCTCTGCTACCTTTATTATTCGGAGTATATAATATATAATTAAGAATAAATAAAACACACCTGATGCAATATTTGATGTCAAATTAAGTTATATGGAGTATGTATATGGGAGAAAAAATCTATTATCAAATTTATTACAACACTTTCCTTGATGGTGCAAACAATATAATAGTTACTATTACATTTTACAATAATTTTCATTATTGTTCCCTGAAATATTTTGGGCGGGATTTTCCCCAAATTCAATTGTGGTGCAAAAAGTGTTACTTTATATTATATAAAGATAAAGATTATTTCTAGATATTTTTATTTTTTTCCGTATTCAACAATTATGGTTAACGATTGATGTGTATTACATCACATATTACTTTAATTTCTTGTATTAAATGTTTTATTTATTATTATTAAATTATCATCATCTCTTTTTGCCCAAAAGAAAAATTATCATCTCTTTTTGAATCATGCATGCTTACCTATTGGAAATATTAAAACGGATTGCTACAACACTTAGAGCATCTCCAGTGCAAAAACGTGAACGATGCATATGTGGCATGAGAGAGCCAATTAAAAAATAACGAATAAGATATCTCTCTCCTTATTTGAATGGTCTTATATGTTTTTGATAAGTTTTTCTCTACAATGTCAAACGCAATGTCTAGATGTAGACATTGTGGTTGACATTGTTGAGAAAAACTTTCCAAAACACACAAAACAGTGGAAAGAAAGAGAGAAAAATGTCATAAATTTAATTTTGTGTGTCTATCTCTCTCATGCCACATGTGCAATGTGCACATTGTAGCATTGGAGATGTTCTTAGTATGTTAAGACTTTTCTTTATTAATATTGTAGTAACGGATGGCTACAACAATCATTCCCAATGGCGATTTCCTTCTATATATATTACGAACTTTTATATTTCCTTTATTAATATTGTAGTATATCGATATTATTTGCTTCCCTTTTACTTTCAAATGCATTGAGCGGGAAAATTGGAGCCAAAAATTGTAGCAACAATGCTACTTTATATTATATATAAAGATTTCTAATTATTTCCTTAAATTGTGGGGACTTTTACACCTCTATAAATAGTAGACATTTTGCTGCTTTATACACTATTATGTAAAGATTATTATTATTATTATCATTATTATTATTATTATTATTATTATTATTATCATTATTATTATAGGAAACAACTGCTACATTTGGACGTGTTGCTAAACTACCATATATAGTGGATACTGGATAGTATTAATATGGCAAGTAAACCTCACTATCATATTTATGATGTGCATAATTTATAGACAGTTTGAAACCGCCCATGCAGTCCGCCCTCACTACCATATTTGTTACTGTATATGGCAAGTAGTGTCATATTAGGGGAGGTTTACGTACGGTGATGATGATCAGAATACGTTAGATAATTTGCCATATTAAATACATTCAGATTTCAGACTGCATGGGCGGCACTTGTAAATATTTTTCACATGCTTTTTCCAATTATGCCCTTATTTTGAGGGGCAAAATTCCCCCCAATAGTTGTTGCCCCACTATTACTTTATATTATATAAAGATATCAACAAAGCTCCATATGCAATATATAATAGCTAAATCCATATAAATCCATGAAATCAAACATGTATAAATTAAGATTAGAACCATACCTTGAGAATTCATTTGCTTAACACTTTAAGAAGAACCGGGAATTCAACACGATTGATCGGCTAACCTTCCAATGCTATGATTCTTATGAGATACTTCTTAATCCTACAAAGGCTACAATTGATGGGTATTTATAGGACTAATTTGAAAATAGTAACGATTAACCTTAATAATTCCTTCATTGTTGCTACAATAATGGTATTAAGTAGAATAACTTATTATTTTTCTGATGGTATACACATTTTAATTAATTACATATTAGGTCCCTTTTATTGTTTCCAATAGTAGAAGGATTTAAGGCTTGAGCATAACTTTGCTTAGTACCATTTGCAGCATTGCAGTACCCTTTTGAAGTCACGTATTCCTCATGTTCTGAGTTTTCATCTGCTTAGTTCCACATTGGTTCATAGCCATGTTTTGAATTGACTTAGCGTTTCTGATAATTTTATATAGACAAATATATTCGACATACTAAGAACAAAAGGAATAGATCTGGAATTCTCTGTTAGTACAAGAGTACCTCCAAATAAATAGCCTAGCTGCATGTGTAAAGAACAACTCTTCTATGCTAAAGAAGAAAAAAGAATTATAGTGGGATACTACCTACTTAATACAAGAATATTGCCTTAACAAAAAATATAATTCATGCCTAGAATAGACATACTAATAATAGGCGTAATACTCCCCTCAAATGGAGCATAGGGATCAAGAATGTCCAACGTGTGCAAGAGAAAATGTAATTGAGTCTTCCCCAAAGCCTTGCTCAATATATCAGCAAGGTTTAGTAAGCAATCAACCTTGATATGTTTAGTACGCTCATGAAAGACCATTTTACGAGCAATGTGAAGAGCAGATTGATTGTCACAGTAAAGAGGAATTGTTTGGGGGGTGATGAATGCCCACACTAAGGAGTAAAGCTTTAAGATATTTTAATTCACAAGTGGCGGCTGCCATGGACCAGTATTCAGCTTCAGTAGAAGAACGAGCCATAGTGGTTTGTTTCTTGGTTTTACAAAAGACGGGAGAATGTCCAAGAAAAACCAACCATCCAGAAAGAGATTTGCGAGGAATAGGGCAGGCTGCCCAATCAGAGTCACACCAACCAGTAAAAGTTAGTCTCACCTTCAAAGTCTGATTTTCTCAATTTGTCTTTATGTTTGTGTTTTTGTTCCGAAATTGAAGGGGCACCTAGACACTTCATCTTGAGGAGCGGCGTTAGGATAAAATAATACCCTTGTATCCGTTAATTAGATTATTAATATTTTTTTGTATATGCATTGCATATTTGTAGTGTTGTTATGATCCCGTTTGGTAACACACAAATATATTGATACAGTTGATTCTACTGAAATTTATGATATTTTGGTTGAAATAGCTATATTGATTGATTCCGTTGAATTATGAAAAAATTAAAACATATTTTTATTAGTAAAATTAAGAAAAAGTTATATGAAAGATTGAGGTTCAGTGTAAGAGGAAATAGTTGCAATAAATGCACGATGGGACACTGGAAAATTATCACAACTAACTTAGTGTGAGATAGAGAATAGAATACTTGAGGAAGTGACAGAAGGAGGGGAGGGGGAAGGAATGGAAGTGTGCTTGATAACTGTGTGAGTAAAAAAATCGAGAATCGAGGGCTGCTTGAGACGATGACCCCTACCTAAAATTGCACGCGGGTGCTCGGGAGTGTCAAAAGAAGAAAGAGCGGAAACTTGAGTGTCTGGAGAGGGCTACTAGTTTGAGGGAGAGGTGTCCGCTGGAGTAGTGACAGTTTGTGAGGATTGCCCCATAGTTAGGTCGTCATAAATATCAACAAAAACATCATGAGAAGAAGTATTATTCCCAATGTCCTCGGATGGAGGGGTGTGATGCGGCAAGGAGTCAGCAAAAAGGAAAGATATCCTCAATGAACTTGACATCTCGAGATACAAAGTACTCACAAGAGTCCAAGTCATACACATTCCATCCTTTTTTGCCAAAAACGTAGCCAACAAAAATGCACTTGCGACTTCTTCTAGCAAACTTATCACCCCTGGACTTTAGATTGTAAGCATAACAAAGACAACCAAAAATCCGCAAATATTTGTAACATGGTGGTGATGCAAAGAGAATTTCATAGGGAGTATGAAAATTAAGCACATAAGAGGGAGTGCGATTAATAAAATGTGCAGCAGTTAACACACACTCTCCCCAAAAAGAAAGTGGGAGGTGAGATTGAAATCTTAAGGCTCGAGCTACATTCGGAATGTGTTGGTGCTTGCGTTCAACACGTCCATTTTGCTGAGGTGTGGCAATGCAAGAGGTCAGAAAGACAATACCACTTTCCCGGAAGAAACACTTCAAACAATTAAATTATGTCCCATTATCACTCCGTGTTATGGAAATCTTTTTGGAAATTGTCATTCCACCATAGCGATAAAAGACATAAACATTGTAAAAACTTCCTTTTTATCCACCAGTAAATAAAAACAAACGGTGCGAGAAAAATCATCCACAATAGTTGAGAACAATTTAGCACCATGGGAGGATGGAGTATTATAAGGTCCCCACAAATCACAATGCACTGATTCAAAATTATCCTTTGTTTTATTCATGCTGATAGAAAAGGAATCTCTAAGTTTTTTTGCACAAAAACAAACATCACATGGTGAAGAAAAAGATCCTTTCAAACCACTCACATGTGTAAAATCATGCAGATTTTTCAGATGGGTGGCCCATACAGTCGTGCCATATATCAAACAAAGATTGAGTCCCTGCATCAACGGTCAATGTGTGCCGTTGTTGGCTCTCGAAGATAGGAACTGAACAAAACAATCCATCTCATCACTCAATTGAGTTACAGAAATCAGGTTACAAGTCATTTGAGGCACAAACAACACATGTTTCAAACCCAGACCATCTGCAAAATTAACGCAACCTTCTCCGGTTGCTAACACTTTTTGCCTATCGGGTAAGGCATCAGAACATGATTTTATTGGTTCAAGTTTAAATAAAATTGACCGATCAAAATAGATATGATTTGTCACCCCTTTATCAATAATGCAAGTAGTTGGACCATATGTACCATTCATGTAGCCACTAGAGGACTGGGGATTCCCAAAAGCGGAAAGCAATTTTTATCATTGTTCTAGACAGAAGCCCGATAGAGGAGTAGAGACATCGAGCATCAGGTTTAACCTTGGTTGTGCCCAAAAAGAACGGCGAAGAGTAATCAATTTTTGCCGGAGTCTGCCCGGCCATGTCATCACTCTCATCACTTGCCATCTCTGGGTTTATGTGCTCTGATACCATGATAATTTTATATGGACAAATATATTTGACATACTAAGAATGAAAGGAACATAGTTAGAGGAGTAAAGAACGGCACTTCTATGCTAAAGAAGGAAGAAGAATTATAGTAGGATAGTACCTACTTAGGCTATGTTTGGTTTGACAAGCTGAAAAAATCTTTTTTAAACTTTTAGTAATTGTTAGCTTTTTTGAGCTGAAAAGCTTGCAGATGGAAAAGACTGTAGCTGTTTCATGAAAGCTGCATGTTTTAAATAGTCATGTTTGGTAGAACTAGCCGTTGTAAATAGCTGAAATTATAAAATTACAATTAAGGGTATAATCGAATATTATAATTAATTAATGAGAAAATAAAATACATGCACGTAGCTAATTTCTATTCCTATCTAATGTATTGAAATAATTAAAAGGAAGTTGCTCGATAAGAACTTTACAAGATTGAAGTTAACTACTGCGTATAAAAAAATTGAAAACAAAAATGAAAACAAAAAACAGAGCATAAAATAAACAAAAAACGTAGCATAAAATACACGAGCGAACTACATCTTCATGAACAAACCCAATGAAACCTGCACATACTACGATGAATAAACAAAATTAGAGCATTCAATAAACAAAATTTGTAATGACTTTGAACAAAAAAACAGAAAAACTCCCATTAAAACAATAAATATGGAAAAAACGTGGAGTGACAAAACACATTCCTCAAACCTGCCATGGAATTGAAAAAAAAGGTAAAATTCGCAATGCAAATAACAAACCAGTAAAATTACTAGGCACAAATCAAATCAAATTTATTTCAATTCCTAAAAACATAACAGAGATTTAAAAAATTAAATTCAAAGTTAACACAAATTTTGAGTGCAATTTTTACCAGATTTTTACGGAATACGACACAGATTTTAGTTATGAATTGTTAATCAAAATCATAAAAAATTAACAAACATCCGCTAAGAACAGAAATGGTTGAAAGGATTTAGCAAAGACAATAGAAGAGGAAGAGATTGAACATACACCCTTGGGCAGAAAATTGCAGACGTGCGCACTGATGAATGACGTTGGAGAAGAAAGAACGACTTGAGCGCAGAGCTATTGAGGGAAGACGGAAAAATGAAAATGAAAAGGTCTTTATTATTCAACGCTACCTTGGCCAGCGTTCAACAAAAGTCCCAGACTTCTTTAAAAGGTTATTTGGCCAAACATACGACTAGAGTTTTTAAGAGACTTTTTTAATAATAGAAAAGCTAAGAGTCACGGACTTTTGGGTACCAAAAAGTACTCACAACTTTAATAATCAACAAGCTTCAAGAGCAACACCAAGAATTGGAAGTTTAGCTTCTCATTTGGAGACTAAACATAGCTAGAAAAATATAAAGAAATGTTATTCTAAGCTGAGCTTAAGAGTATGGAAGAAGAGATGCTCAAATGGGAAGGAAAAGGGTTGTATTTATAGGTGTTTGGAGGTGGCAGGGTCATTTACCCGACAGGGTTTTTCAGAAACCCGATCGGGTTTCCTGAGTAATTGCCTGGAATCTTCATTAGTCACATCTACCCGATCGTGTTTTTGATTTACCCGATCGGGTAAAAGACAAATCTTTGCCAAATCTTCACCCTGCACGTTTAATTGCCTCCAAATCAGATTTGATCTTCAGGTCAAGTCAAACTTGATCGGGTTTTTGGAAAACCCGATCGGGTTTTTGACTATTTTCCCAAATTTTCAATTTATCTTGTTCCCTTGCACTTTCCTTGACCTTTCCAGGATCCTTTTGATGATCTTTACCTAGTTTAAGCTCAGAAAATCCCTAATCTATACAAATTACAAGTAACTAGGAAAAATAAAGTATTACACCAAAAGTGTGTAATTTCCCAAACAACAACAAATAAAACTAGTTAAAATTACAAACATAAACAATAACATTTTTATACTATCACATAACAAAGAAAGTGTTCAAGGACATGTTAATCAACACAGTCCTCCCAGCAATCAAGGGAAAATGGCCTCCACAGTTAAGCAAAGAAATCATAATACAACAAGACAATGCAAACCCACACATTTCACATGATGATGCAGAGTATATGAGTGCTTCCATGGCTGATTGGTTTACTATCACCTTTACTAACCAGCCCCCCAATTCTCCAGACCTTAACATCCTAGACCTAGGGTTTTTTAGGGCAATACAATCTTTGAAAGACCAGAATGCACCCAAGACAGTGGATGAACTGTTACATGCAATGGATGATGCTCTCAAACAACTATCACCTACGACTCTAAACAAAGTATGGCTAAGCTATCAGCATGTTATGATTGAAGTTATGAAAGTGCAGGGAGGCAACAATTACAAGCTACCACACAATGCAAAGGATAGGATGCAGTCAGAAGGGATACTTCCAAAAACAATTGAGGTAGATGTTGAATTATTGGAAGCAACAGAACAGATTCTAGGGCAACAAGCAGGGGATACTGAATGTCAGGGGAACTTCATAATTGAAGAAGATGATGATGACCATCATCTTCAGTGATGAAGTACATGGTCAGACATAATAGGCCTTAATTTTTTTGTTTTTTGTACAAGCCTTAATTTTGAGGGACAGTCAGACATTTAGAATTAGTACTAACATGCTCAGACATTTTGTAATAGATGAAGCATACTCAGACCTTTTGTAGAAGTACAAGCATAGTCAGACATTTTGTAATAGTAGAAGCATGGTGATCTAGCAATGGTCATAATGATTTCATCATTTTGGGACAACAATAGCATACTCAGACCTTATGAATAACTACTACATCGTCATACACACCACACACAATTACTGATCATCATATGGTAGTGACTAAAGTACCATGTCACATGGTATTGATCATCATAGTATGCATAAAGTACCACATCACAAGGTCATGTTCATCACAGTATGCTTAAACTACCAAAATACTTTCATATGCTCATCATAGTATGCATAAAATACCACAACAGAGGGTCATGGTCATCACAGTATGCATTAACTGCCAAAACACTATCATATGGTCATCATAGCATGCATAGAGTACCATTTCACAGCCTAATGCTTCCATCATAGCATACCACGCAGAATGAACCAATACAAAAATCACAGTATGCATAAAGAACCAGTACACACTAGGGCTACATTCATGACAGGGAAATTAAAGAACCAGAATACAAAGGGACAGTTTCATGACAGTATGCATAAAGGACCAGTACACACAAGGTCTACTTTCATCACAGTATGCCTAACTACCATTTATAATACCAAACCACCATGTACAACCCACATGCATCACAATAAACATCAATAAAACAATTTTTCATCATTGCTTCCCCCAAATTTCACACAATGGTCATAGAGTACGAATTAAACCATAAACGAAAATATGGTATAGAAGAAACTCCCCTAAGTTGTGTCCACGTCCCACATCCTTGTTTCCCATTTTGGCAAAATTATTTTTAGGAACTTCTCCAGTCGGGGACTTCTCTGAATAGGATGCATGTCAATGTCTCTGCGTCTTTTAAGCCGATTTGGGTCCATTGTCTCCCCCACGACCTCTGCAGGCTTCTCGCTTACATCCTCAGGAAGCTCTTCTTCACTGCCCGGGATAATGAGGAGGGCATCCTCTTCCGGTGAGTTCTGAGCCATGCACCTTGGATGGAGTACCAAGGGTCTGCAAAATCCAACGCCATTGCTTCCTCCGAAAGAAGGCGCTCTTCACTGTCAGGGACGATGAAGTGTTCAATATTCTCCATACTCAAAGTATTAGGGTTCAGATCCATAAAAATGTGAGACAGGGGGAGATAGAAGGGTAGATAGATTTACAAAGGGGGAGACGGAGGAAGTAAATGAGAGAGGGAGATGGTTGGAGTAATTGAGAGAGACGGATGCAGTGAAAGAGAAAAAGGAGGCGGTGGGAGTAAATGGAAGAGAGGGATGCGGGTGGGAGTAAATGGGAGAGGGAGGGATGCGAACGGGTAAATGGGAGATGGGAATGGGAAAAGTTTTTTAATTGGGGAGGGTAAAAGAGGGTTTTTAGTATGGGTTGATTTCCTTTTTTTTAATGTTGGAAGAATTAATTGGGACGGCCCAAAAAGGAAAGTTGGAAGAAATGACCGGGACGGAGGGAGTAATAATTCATGCCTAGAATAGACATACTAATAATAGGCATAATAATTTAATATAACAGTGTTCGATCAACACCAGCTGTTTAATAGGCGTAAAATCTTTCACTTCCAAGCAAGGTTGTTAAAATCTCGATTTAAATCGTAAAAATCGCACGATTTTATGATTCTACATTAATAAATCGATTCAAATCACAGGTAAAATCGTAAAATCATAAAATCATACAAAATCGTAAAAAATCATACAAAAATCGTGTAGAATCATTTAAAATCGTAGCAAACCCGTAATAAGTTTTTTTAGTGAAAATGGTTCAAATTTATTAAAATTAACTACTACAAATTGATAAATAATTACATTAGTTATAATATCAATAGCATATTTAATAAAGTAATGGACTCTTGTGTTGTTTAATTATTTTTATGTTTAATTTTATTATTCACTACATTTACATTAATTAAATAGTTTATAAGTCTTGTTTTAGACCTTGTAGATATAGTTTTATGTAATGAAATGATATAATACCATTAACTTTTATTTATTTTATACTTATTAAGATATATTTAATATAATCTTACGATTTGCGATTCGATTTTACGATTCGATTTTTAAAAACATCTATCGATTTAACAACCTTGCTTCCAAGTGAAAGATTTTAAATTTGAGCTATTTCTCTCTAAATTGAACGTTTGCTTCATTTTGAACTTGTCCTGAGCTGGGAGGTTTGCAATGCTAGGATGATACACTCCAACCACATAAAGCAAGTTCATCCTTCTAACGATGAAATCATTAACTTTTCCCTGTTCTTTTAACTCCATAAGGAGTACCACCCATATTTTAATTCAAAAAAACTTTATACCCTCCTCCTCTCTATCCTTCAGTTTGACATTATCATCCTTGTTCCTACCTCTTTTTGGCTGTTCTTTTGGCATATCAATTGACAGTAGAGGATCAATAGTTGTTCTCAGATTCCTTAACAATGTTCTCAAAAATCTTTCGAAGGGCACGCAAGGGATAACATTTATTCCTAATTAAACAACATAATTTTTTGTTTAAGGAAATCACATTGTTTTACTAGGACAACTTCTTTCTTCAAAGTCTGATTTTCTCGATTTGTCTTTATGTTTGTGTTTTACGGAGTATTTATTTGCTCTCTTCCACAGAATTCACAAAACTTTGTTCCGGAACTGAACGGGCAACTAGATACTTCATCTTGAGGAGCGGCGTCAGGATAAAATAATACCCCTGTATCCGTTAATTAGATTATTAATGTTTTTTTTGTACATGCATTGCATATTTGTAGTGTTGCTATGATCCCGTTTGGTAACACAAATATATTGGATCGGCTGATTCTACTCATAAGGCTGATATCGAAAAAGCACGCTTATCAAATGGAGTCTGAATGTATTTGATATTTTGAGATATCTAGTTTTGACGAGATAGAAGTTGTGATGAGATCCATAGACTCTTGTTTTTCCAATTTTCATTTCAAATAATTGAAAATTCACACCCTACTTTCTAGGGATCTAATCATCTAATTAATTACACAAGTTGATACAAAGTTTACCCATACTTTTAGGATCAAATGAAAAGGTCGGTGCTATTTCATTCGTTTTCTTGCTATTAATGCAAAAAATACGGCTTTGGGAGAATATATGATTAAATTAATGAGATGAAAGGGAATTTGATCAAGTAGTTGTTAAAAAGGTTATTCTTTAGATAAAGGGTGATTGACTCCCTTCAGCGCCTCTAATGGTGGCTGCACATCAAGTGAATGCATTGAATTGGACAATTCATATTACTAAATTCTACTAGTAATCAATTTATTCAACTTTCTTCATTTAACAGTCTCAGAAAAATCTTTTAATGTAAAAATTTGACAGGTAATGTTGTTTCTTTTTTCATTTACACAAATTTTAATTACACATTTTCTTATTTTATTATTTTATGTGGTAATTAAAATTGACAATATGATTTTTTTTCTTATTCGTTTATGATTATTTTATTATTTCATTGTTAGTGTAGTAGTCTAAAAGTCTGTTTGGTAACACTGAAATTGGATTAATTGGCTAATTCTGCTGAAATTTATGAAATTTTTGTGAAATTGCTGGATTGACAGATTATGCTTAATTATGAAAGAAAAAAATATTTAAAATATATTTTATTAATAAAATAAAGATAAATTATATGAAAAATAGTTAAAATGATTTTCTACTGTAACTTTCGCTAAATCAATTAGAAAAGTAACTTCAACATAACTTTTTCTTATTATTATTACACAATTCATCGCGCAAAATCAAAATTTAATATGGTCCGACGGAAATGCAACTTTTCCCATTCAAATCTTACTCAAGATTTGGTCTCTAAATACAAACACTCCGTAGCGCCCAAGCAAAGGCATTCACAACAAAAGATGGAACTCAATATTCCCCAAAGCGGATGCATGGCTGATCAGGTGGCCGTGGTCATGGTCCCGCTTCCGGCACAGGGCAATCTCAACCTCCTCCTCCACCTCTCCCGCCTTGTCGCCTCCTACGACATCCCCGTATATTACACCGGAGCCGCCACCCACATCCGCCAGGCCAAGCTCAGAGTCCAGGGATGGGACCCCCACTCTGTTCCCAAACTCCATTTCCATGAATTCCCCACACCTTCATTCGACTCCCCTGATCCTGACCCCAAGGTCCGGCCACCGACGCAGCTACTGCCATCATTCCGCGCGGCCTTACTCCTCCGCGAACCCCTCCGTGATTTCTTGGAAGAACTCTCCAAGAAAACAGGGAGGGTCGTCGTGATTTATGATTATTGGATGTCTTGGAATGTTCAGGATATCCCGAACATTCCAAAGGCAGAGTCTTATGCCTTCCGAAGCACTTCTGCTTTCTCCGTTTACTCCTTCAACCGGGAGATGATGCCGATTTCACCATTGCCTCCTGAAGCAGAAATAGTCAGCCAACTTCCAGTTACTGAGACATTTAGTAGTGATGAATTTGGTGAACTTGATAGGCTGCATATTGAAGCTGAGAAGTTCAACTCTGGAACCATTTTCAATAGTTGCAGGGTGATTGAAGGAACGTTTCTTGACTTGGTCGCTAAAGCTCCACTGATGGGGAAGCAATGGGCCGTTGGACCATTTAATCCTATTGAGAGTTGTGGTATAAATTATCGTTTCTTACTACGTATTTAGATTTAGTTAGTAGATTAAACTCTAACATTCCAACAATCCAACATGATCAAATGGTTCTTAGGATCTTGCATATTTTTAGTGCTACTTAATTGTAGGGGTAAACACCTCTGGTCTAAAGAATTAAGATCACCCTACTATATACGGAGTATGATCTTAATTAAAAATATTTAATTATCCTTGTTTCTACTTTTCATCATCTTTTTTATACTTTTCCACCTCTATTAGTTCCTCTTTAAATAGTATACCAAAGCAATCTTCAAAACTCAAAGGGAGTAGTTTTTTAGCTAGTTAAGAAAAAAAGCCTGTGGTAACCAAACAAATTAAACTGTGCTATTGTGGTTTATTTATAGACCACTGAAAGAATATTGACAACACAACTATTCATTTCAAAAAAAAGAAATACTCCCTCTCTATCATATTAGTTGCAACATTGAATTTTACACATTATTCATGTACACTACTTTGACTACATTTTATTTATTAATGTATGTGAATTATTATTTTTTTGAAAAATATTGTTGAATTCGTCTCATTACAAAGTTTCATAATTTGATTTTTAAATTTTTTTACTAATAGGAAATTAAATATAATGATGGTCAAAGTTGTGCATTGGTAAGCGTGAAAAATGGAATGTTGCAACTAAAAAAGAACGGATGATGATATAAAAGGGAAAGTGTTGAGAGTGATTGGGGAGGAAGAGAAGCTATAATTGTATAACAACCGTTGTCGATGTACATAAAGAGCATACACATTTGGCATACTCTCTAATATAAAGATAATTGTTACATTTTCTAAAGAGTATATACTCCCTCCGTCCCGAATTAATTGTCTTGTTTGTTTTTGCACAAGTTTTAAGAAATTGGTTGAAAAAGTAAAAATTGTGGTTGAGATTTGAGTAGAAAAAGGTGAATTGATATGAGTCAACCATTATTGACAAAAGAGAAAAGACAATTATTTTGGGACGGACCGAAAAGGAAAGCGAGACATTTATTTCGGGACGAACGGAGTACATAACTAAGAGTATACACATTTTGTGGCAAATGGAAATTTTCATTGTACTCGTATCATTTGATAAGTCTGTAACAAATGGGATCAACCAAACCGATCTTCTGCAGACAGGAAAGAGAGACACAAATGCCTGGCGTGGCTTGACGCACAACAGGAGAGCTCTGTGATTTTCGTTTCATTCGGCTCAACGGTTTCATTTTCAAAGGAACAGACCGATCAGATCGCATTCGGATTGGCCCAAAGCGGGCGGAGGTTCATCTGGGCTCTGAGAGAGGCCGACAAAGGAGACGTCTTCGCCGGAGACGAAAACAGAGTCGAACTGCCGGAAGGATACGAGGAAGGGATCGAGGGGAGAGGAATGGTGGTGAGGGATTGGGCGCCGCAGCTGGAGATTCTCGCCCACAAATCCACCGGCGGGTTCATGAGCCACTGCGGGTGGAATTCGTGTATGGAAGCCATTTCCATGGGCGTGCCCGTCGCCGCCTGGCCGGTGCACTCTGATCAGCCCCGGAACGCGATGCTTGTTACCAAGATTCTTGAAATTGGCGTGGAGGTAGACGACTGTGCCAACCCAGAAGTGATGATTAGCTCTCACAGAATCGCCGAAGTCGTTGGGAAATTGATGGGTTCTACTGAGGGAGAGAAGATGAGGGAAAGGGCTCAAGAACTGAGCCGCGCGGTCAAGCTTTCTGTAATGGAAGGAGGCAATAGTCGTCTACAAATGGATTCTTTCATTGCTCATATAAGTCGATAGAGAATTTACAACATTCACATTGCTACATTGCTTCAAATGAAAATGAACTGAACAAATAAAATGAGCATTACCATCAGTACTCCCTCCCTCCCAACCTTTACCAAATTTATTGTGAAACAATTTTAGTGAATTTCTCGAAAAATTAAAATGAGACAATATGAGTAAGACGAGGTAGTATTTCAATTTGGGAGTATCAATAAACAATAGTTTTTTCCCAAGAAAGGATACTTTCAAATCTTATTTCTCAAATCGGGGTGTTTTTTGCCTTGTCATCCGACTGGACGAGCCATGTCAGCGAAACCTGATTATTTGCGTTTCCATGTCACCCGCTCACCACGTCATGCCTCCATGTCATCTCATTCACATGTTTCTTAAAATATCAAAAAAATTGAGGTTAGAGGGAGTTGAACCCCAACACTCCTTGCTCAAATTTGGGTCTTCATACACTATACCAATGCAATTAGTTGTTAGAGAATGTACAACATTCACATTGCTTCAAATGAAAATGAACTGAACAAATAAAATGAGCATTAGCATCAGTACTCCCTCCCTCCCATTTTAGTTCGATGACGTCTAATTTTGACCAATTATATTTTTATATGAATAAAGTATTAATAATATGAAAATGATATTAAATGTTCTTTGTTTAAAATACTATCATAAAACTATAAAATTATTAAATTTTGCATATATATATTAGTTTAAATAATTGGTCAAAGTTTACCACCTTTGACTAGAAAAGTCAAAGATGGCTAAGTAAATTGGGACGGAGGTAGTATAACTTATACGGATTACTATGTACCGGGTATAACATAAAAGTATAGAAAAATTGCAAAAACACACAAATATGAAATTATTCAGATGTATAATACTTTTTTATATTCTTTTGTTTGATACACTTCTCTTTGTTTGTTGGGTGTATTTTAATTTTTTCTTCATTTTTTTGTAAGTTTTTCACTTTTCTTTCTGCAAATGTTCAATTATTTTACTTTTTCTACTTTTTAATGTTTTCTTTAGTATTTCTCCATATTCTTTCATACTTTTCTACACAATTCATTACCTATATATTATGCCCTTAAATATTGTCCCCACTAATTAGCTGCTTCGAATTGTTAGTATATAGGGGACGCAACACATACTTATTACATTAACAACTAGGAATAAAATAAAATAATTAAATAATTATTATTTAAAAAAGTTGGTTCGGTTTGGTTCGATTCGGTATGAATCGATTTTAGATTTTAAAGAATCGTATCCGAATCGATTTATACTGGAGTCCTGACTTTCGATTTTCATTCAAGTCGGTTCGCTTTCGGTTCAATTTGTTTATTGATCGATTGGGTTTTTTCGGGTTAAAAATGTCAGCACTTGTAGTGACTTGGGTAGTGACTGTGACTAAACTTAGACCAATATTCTTCATAATAAATACTCCTCACAAAATGATTTACGTCAACTTTTTTCAACACAATTTCATATTATTTATTTATTTATCACATCAAAATATTATTAATTCATATATTCTAATTTTGATTTTTCTAATTATAGAAGTTTCAATTTATTTTTTCTTGATATGCAAACTATTGTAATTAATATAACTATCATTAAAAATGATTTAATTTATCATTTAACTCTTTTTGGACAAATTTTTCTCACCTATTATAGTATATGTTCTATGTTAATGCCAACATCCTTGAACTGAGATAAGATTCGAACATGTGACTTTTGTCACAGTAATGCTATCAGATCATAAGGTTTTTTGGCAATTTATCATTTAACTTTAAAATCTCTAAATTGTACTACTTCCATCCCACTAATATTGAGATGGAAGAAGGTGACATGGTTATTAAAAAGTAGATTTATTTGATTGATATTAATTGATAAAGTAAGAATAAAGTAAGAATGATTTAGATTCACACAAACTTTACCAAATTTATTGTGAGACAATTTTAGTGAATTTCTCGAAAAATTAAAATGAGACAATATTAGTGGGACGAGTTAGTATTTCAATTTGGGAGTATCTATAAACAATAGTTTTTTCCCAAGAAGGGATACATTCAAATCTTATTTCTCAAATCGGGGTGTTTTTTGCCTTGTCATCCGGCTGGACGAGCCATGTCAGCGAAACCTGATTATTTGTGTTTCCATGTCACCCGCTCGCCACGTCATGCCTCCATGTCATCTCATTCACATGTGTTTTAAAATATCAAAAAATTTGAGGTTAGGGGGGGTTGAACCCCAACACTCCTTGCTCAATTTTGGGTCTTCATACACTATACCAATGCAATTAGTTGTTACTCTGTTGTTTTATTATATACTTATTAACTTCTTTGCTTAATAAAATAATAATTATTTATCCAATAAGATATTAACAACAGACTAACAACTAATTGCATTGGTATAGTGGATGAAGACCCAAAATTGAGCAAGGAGTGCTAGGGTTTGATTCCCCCTATCCTCAAATTTTTTGATATTTAAAAAAACAAGTGAATGAGATGACATGGCTCGTCCAGCCGGATGATGACGAGTTATTTTCACAATAATGCTCATCGGGTGTCGGGAATTGGAAGTCCCGGATATCATCTCACGGGACGGTGTATATGGAAAATCAAGTGTGAAATTAATCTAGAAATCTAACATGTAAGCTAACCAAGTCGATGAATGTTTGTTTGATTTAAGAGATCAACTAACTTGCAATGAAAATAGATCACGATTAAACTAGAAGGGAAGCGGGGGGCATACAAAGAACAACCTATGATTAAGGATAAGGGGTCAAAATAGGGATATTTGGGAATATATCATGCAACAAAGGGATAGGTACAAGTTTCCTTGTCACTCTCATGGTCAAGGGATACTATAGGCTCCTATTGGCCATTCTCATGGTCCAATAGAAATCCAAAGTCATGCAAAGAAGAGCAACCTACATTTTTTCCCTACCTTCTCCCATTCTCATGGAGAGGGGTAGTGTGTGTGTGAATGTGTCAAAAGGAACCCTGCAAGTCTCCTTGAGAATCCAAACCAACATCTAAGAACATTGTGACCATCAAAGTCTTAGAAATACAAAGAGACATTTTTACAAACACATTGTGTGCACAATATATTTCTCAAATTCCCCCAAGTCAAACCCCAAAACCTAACACATCACATAGTTGGATGTTCCTCAAACACCCTCAATCCCTAATCCAACTACTCACTCATGCTAGATTTCATATTCATAAAAGAAATATTAGAGATAGACATGGAGTGAGAAAAATGGATAAGATTGTAGAAATATGACAATGATGCAATCTAATGGATTAAATGAAAGTATGAAACTAGATTCAAGGTTTGATGCAAATAATATCAAGAAATGAAGTGCAAATGAGTTTAAGGAAGCTTACAACCATAACTAGGGTTTGCAAGAAGAAAATTCATCCAAAAACTATGAAAATTCAAACAAAGGCTGGTATTTATATAAGGGGAAAGATGGGGGAACGCTGGACAGGAACGCCTTCCTCTGACGAGGAACCCCAGGGGGGACGCTAGAGGGAACGACGTTATTGGGTGTTCCTATCCTTACAAATTAAAACAGGCGGCTGACAGAGAGTTCAACGTTGGGAGGAACGGAGTAGGGACATCGTTCTTGAGGGAACGCTGGCAGGAACGTCGTGCTCTGCCAGCGTTCCCACACGTGGGACATAAAATTAAAAATCTGATGGTACAAAACGGGGGAACGCTGGGGGAACGTCGTTCCCAATGGCATTCCTGAGGCTGACTCCCCCGAAACACCTCCGACAACTTCGTTTCTTGCTTCCTTGTGCTCCGCTTGGTACCCGGAGTCTTCAAATCATCCATTTCTGCTCTCGAGACTCTTCAAAATGCTCTGATTTCACCCCTACAACACTCAAATCCTTCGTGTGGTTCCTACAACCAAAATATTGCACAGGTACAACAAAAAAGGAAGAATAATATTCAAAAGTTAACAAACAAAGATCAATTTTATGAGAAGATATTAGGTGTTTTCACACCTATTAGATGAAGGCCAAAAACACCCCTTCTCAAAAAACTCCTATAAACAAGCCCAGCCCATCCATCTTCCAAAACTCTACTTACACTGCGCCGCGATTCTCTGTTTAAAAATTTCTGCATCGCCGGCTGTGAGACGAATTTATCTTGAAAGCTAGCAAACACCTCAACATGAGAGCCAAGGTATCCAAACAATTCTCTACTCTCGCGTTTGCTCTTCTACTCGCAATCGTTATGGATTCCTGAGCTTTTTCTTTCTTATCTGTTAAATTATTCAGTGGAAGAAGAAGCGGATGAGGAGGCTGAAGAGGAAGCGCAGAAAGATGAGGCAGCGATCCAAGTAGAATTATATCAATCCTCTCTTATTTTCTGCATCTTGAGCTGATCTGTGTCGTTTCTTTGTTTCCCTTGTGAACGTTCTGGTTACATCTGCTTTGTTGATATTGCAATTTTTTAGTATACAATGAACTTCCATAGTTCCATTACCGTGCTTCGTTTTGATGTGTCGTACTTAATTACTTATAGCCTTCTTATCAATCTAAATCATGTTTCTTTCTAGCATGGGATTGATTTGGGAAATGGTCTATGGCTCTATGCAGCTAGTTCAGTATGAGTATACGTTTTTTCTGCTAAATGATTGGCAGACTCTCTGATTCTGTTTTCCTTTTGTCACATTTCCAATATCTGAAAAGTAAGAAAAATTCATTCATTCTTAACCTTTATACAGCCATTTTGTATTTGTTGGTTAAGCTCTGTTTCAGATACTCCGTAGCAAAGAAGTGCTGCTGTTTATAATATACTCTTTCAGTATTAAAATAAGTGTTTCAGTAGTCTTTTCACGTAGTTTAAGATCATTTATAGTTTTATTGTACACTTTTTTTAAAAGTAGGAGATTTTTTGTACTGTAGCAGTACTGTTTGCTTTATTAAAGTGTATCGTAGCAGTCTTCTTTACTTTATTAAAGTGCACGGTACCTGCTTTTGGGGTAGATGTATTTCCTAAAATGGAAATGGGACACTTATTTTGATACGGCCAAAAAAGGAAAATGAGGCATTGTGATTTGATACGGCCAAAAAAGGAAAATGAGACACTTATTGTGATACGGAGGAAGTATGTAGTAGTGATCTCAGTAGTGGCAATAGGGGTGGTCATAGCTTGTGGGGTGGATACCTTGTGCTGTGGTTAAGGCATTGATCACGAATTCTTGACAAAGAGGTCATGAAGTCAAGTGTTTGGACATTGATCATGCCTTATAAAAGGATAAGGGTAAGCTTACTCCTATACAACCTATGCTGGAACCAGTCCTTGGATCCTCGTCTTACGGGGCACCAATGTGCAGTGCACCTGACTGCCCCTTTGGTGATGTCATTAGCATTCAATAGTGGTGGTTATAGTCTTGGGGTGGAGTGGAGCAGTAGCTGGCCGCTACAAGACTCTCTAGGTGACCATTTGGCTATAGTGGAAATAGTAGATGCTGTAGCTGTTCTTTCAGATGCTGTGGAGGTGACACTGAAACTTTAGTTATCCGCATGCGGTTTTGGGAATGAGATTCTATGCTACATGGCAGAGCTGCCTAGGGCACTTTTGTCATTTTGGATGAAGGAGATCGGGCCTTAGATTGGTGAGTAAAATGGATCCACACGTTTCAGGCCGTAAAATTTGTCATGGCCTGAGAGTCTGTTTTTTCAGCTGCCTTGGCTTCACGCAGAGAGGCCCAGGCTGTTGGGGGGGGGGGGGGGGGGTGTATTTTTGGTTCTTAGTAGTATTAGAGGGTAAAGTAGGTTTAGAATATCAAGAAACCATGGTGAAACCTTCACCATCATTTCACCTTAACTACATTTGTCTGCCATCTGCTCATTTTCTTCTTAAACTTTCTATTCTTTTGCTCTTGTTCGTCCCAGGCAGGAGCGTGTTTTAGTGTAGCTATGAACTAGTTTAAAAGATTCAAAAATCAAAAGATATGAAGTGTCTCTTGTGATTTCTATAGGAGGTCAACATTGAATTTTTATTGGTAATTAGGATTTTTGAATACCTCCAAGTCTGTGATACTCCTGCAATGTTTTTGGGTATCTGTGCTATACTATATGGGATTGACAACCCATGTATTCTATATTCATAACTCCTGTGGATTGAATGTATGAAATATTTTGATCCTGATATAATTAACCTAAGTTAAATTTCGTTTGACTATAACCTCACTTCAGTGTCTGTTTTTATCTATAAAATCAAAGTGAGCCTGTGTTATGCTTGATTTTGTAAGTTATAGTTTACCTCAGCTCAAACCTTCCACATGAAAAGACAGACAATTTGCTTTCACAATCCAGCATTCCAGCTACAAAGATGGGCGTGCATTTTGTATTATATAGTAGTTTGAGTTTTCATTTTGATTTCGTTTGAAAACATGTTGGCAATGGCATGTTTACCAAATCGAAAGACTAAATTATTTTTTGTTGAGAAGAGGCGAATAAGCCTTTGAATCATTGGCGATTTTACAACTGGCACTTTAATAGAAATACTCCTTTGACCAATTGAAATAAAATAATTAAATCCTTTTTTACCTAGACTTCAGCTTTCTCGTGAGAAATTATTGGCAGCAAAAAAAATAAAAAGACTTGATTGCTTTATTTCAATGGGTAGAAGAGTGCATTCGCAAGGTCTTTCTCTTCAGGAACCTGATTACACAATTGGTAGGAGTTTGAGAGTTTATTTGCCCCTTTTTTGTTTTGTTTATAGAATAGACAAATAACTTCCTAAGTACTCAAATAATATTGCCAATCGTGACTAATAACACACGCGAAAGACATGAGACAATTTCTAAGCACATATATTACTAGTTCTGTCACTAAGAGAAGTATTAGGTTACTATTCTTTGGTCAAAATTCAGTTTTTAATCTTTACTTTATATATTCAACTTTTATGAAATTTGTTTTTTGCAGTTTTATAAAACTTGTAATGTACTTTTTGTATATGTAATTTATATTTGTTAAAAAGAGTCTGAGTATTACAAGAATCGGTTAACATTATTGTCACTAAAACATCGTAAATTGAAATGTGAATTTTTCTAAGGGGCGAAAGAAATATGATTTTGGTTTGTGCACCTTGTATTTCATATTATGTGCTCTGTCCATCCCAATTTTAATGACAGCTTAATTTATAAAATCACATCATCATCAATAATCTCATTATCATATATAATCATCAAAACTGTTTTTCAAAATACACTTGACTAACTTTAATTAATTATCTACATAGCTGTGTTATTTTTAAATAATTGAGAAAGACGAAGAAAGAGTATGTTTGAGCAAGAAAAGGTACTAAAATAAATATAAAAGATGAGGGGAAAAAATGAAAGTTTCAATTTATATATTTTATCATTGGTAAAATGAAAGATACTAAAATAGTCCATATTAAGAGTTTTTAGTTGGTTTTGGTTCGCATTAGTACTGCTTAGAAAAAATATGAGGTTTTTCCTAAAATATCACTATTGAAATCTAAGGACAAAAAAATGACTATAAGGTACTATGAGTAGATTTTATAGTCATCAGGGTGTAACATTTGAATACAATCATAATCACTTAAGTTATCAAAGTCACATTTTTATCCACTACTTTTATTTAGTTATACATTTGGAATTATTTAGAAAAATATCAATTACTAAACCAATTAGCATATAGTCTAGTTTTGGGTCAATATAGTTTAGCTTCGGTTGGTCAAGACGATCCTCTAAATACATTGTGTAGCAAATATTACCTCCATTCTAGTGAACTTTGCCAAGTTCGAATAAGTGTGAAATAAGAAAAGTAAATGTTGTATGGTTGAAGTTTGTACAGAGACAAGAGAAATGAGCAGAACCACATATTAGTTGTTTTAATTCGAAAGTTGGCATAGTTATTGGAATAGCGTTGTTCAAGGGTGGAGAGAGCCGGCTTGGAAGGGGCTCGACCCCCAAGAAAAATCATATTGTATATGTTATGTATTACTCCGTAATATTTTTAATCAACTAAAAGTATATTGATAGTTTAAACTTTCGCCTCCACAATTTAAAATTTTCAAATCCCGACTCCCTAATCATAGATTTCTAACTCCTCCACTGGTCATAATTTTATACATGATGACTATTTGTACAAATGATTGTTAATTTTTTTTATCTTCTTTTTTTTTGGTCGGACTTCTAAACTAGAGTCTAGATGTTATTACAATATCTAATTTTTGATTTTATACGACAAACAACAACATTCAAACCTTAGTCCTGAAAGATTTTGATATTGTCTAACATGAAATCAATACATGATTTCAAATAAAAAAGATAAGAAAGCTAGAAAGATGAGGTATAAAAAATATAGAATATAAGATAGATATAAAAATGATGAGATAAAAAGGAATTTTCAAGAATATATATAAAATAAAAAAGGATTAAAAAAACATAATATAGAGAAAAAAGATTTTACTTCATATTATAAAAATCTAAAAAGATGACAAGAGATCAATTCACTGTGCGATAATCGCTTTCCACTAATTTACTCTTTCTAGTTTTTCATTTTATGTTTATCAATTTTAACTATATGTTTTTATACTTTTATTATTTAAATCAACCACAACTTTAAATAATAAGACCTATTTTTTTAGACAAAACCTTTATAATTTACTTTCATAAATTTTAAAAATAAAACAAGTTTGAGGATGTTACATTAAGATTTTTACATAGAGGTAATAATTAAAATAGAAAAAGAATGAAATAGAAGGAGGGGAAGTAGGAGAGAAAGTAGGAAAGGGAGAAGAAAATGTATAAAAAATAAGACTTATAAAAAGAAAAAGTAGGATAAAAGCTTTCAATATGGTAACAGGAAAAATGTTACCTACTAAATTATACCCTTTGCACGTTTTTTTGTAAAGTTCAAGGTCTTAATTGAGTGTTTATTTAGTTCGAAGGCTTAATTGATTTTTGTGATACACTTCGAGAGCTGATTTGATAGTTTTCCAAACATTAAACTGAGAGTGAATGTGTTTTCGCATAAAGCAGTAAGCCAGTAATGAGAGTTACTTTATATTAGTGTGTTACCGACATTCAAAAAATATATTACTATATTACCGAGGTTTTCTTAATATCTAATAGACTAAAAATTGAGTTCATGAAGCACAAGTCTTAAATGTATAACTATGTGGTTTTGCAAGCCCGCAAATCTGGATGGTGTTTATTTCTTTTGGAGGACTTCAACTAAAGCTGTGCAATGTGCCCAGGAACATGCACAAATTTAAGCTTGATCAGGGGATGTTTCTTCTTTAGATAATGGAGATCAATCCATTGCCTAAATAAGCTCTTTTCCGAATCAAGATTTGTTTTTGTTTATTTGTAGAAAAGTCACCATCCTTTTAGTGGTTGAAATCTTGAAGACTAACTATTTCACAATCTAATGTTTGTTTTGTATGAGGTTGCTTTTGCACTAAAACTCTAAAAGGGTTCACTGTTTTAGTCCCTCATCGTATATGCAGTTGCAACAATTTTAGTCCATTATTATTATTATTAATTATTAATTCTTGTTTTGCAAAAATTATGTGCTGTTTTACTATTGGCAGTGGGCTTGACCCTTGTTTGTGACTAACAAAGATTGAATTCATTATAGGGATTACATCCCTTATTAAAGGATACAAAAAGTTATTGAGGATCTAAAAATGGCAAAAATGGCATAGTTTAGGGACGACAATAGCAATTAACCCCAGCCAAATAACATGACAGATCATATAAATTTATTGAAAAAAGGCAACTGGAGTCTGCTACATACTATCTTGGATGCACCTTTTTCTTCTTCTGCACATGGCTGTTGCTGCAGTCATGCATGGTGGTCATGCACCCAAACTTCCTCTTCATTTCTTTCCACACACTCTTCTTCTTCTCATTCCTCTCCTTACTGTTATTGAAACCCCCTTTTTGAATTTGCATCCTCACATTATTGCATTCTTTCTCCAACTCCAACACCTTGTTCCCTATCTTTTCAATCTCTGCCTTTACCTCATGATCATCATCTTCACTTGCACTTAACTCCACCCCTCCTCCTTCATCTTTCTTCTCAACCATCAAAGCTCCACAAGACTGAATCATCTCCTTCCCCACTGTGTCCTTCAACATCATATGCCCTGCAAACAAAATCTGCACCAGCAACCTGGTGGGTAAGCGGTTATTTTGCGCAGCGTGCTGGCACGCTTCAACTGACATCCTGCTGCAATCCAGAACATCACACAGCTTCTCCCTCTCCTTTTCTGTCAAATATATGTGCTTCTCCAGGTAGATATCTATCGCTCGGTAGATCCCATCAGAGCTCCGTTTGGCTTCACTCGAAACGGAAGCAGATAGGTCCGCAAGTGAAGCAAATGTGTCCATTTTTAGGTCTATGTCACTCGCGACCTCGCACAAGAATTCCTCCATGAGGTTTGCCACTTTAACGAAGCCCGAAAACTCCGAACTCGTGTAGTTGTCATAATAGATCTTCAACATCCTCTTCACACACTCAGTGTCATACTTTTCTTCCGGGACATGAAATATGAGAAGTAGTTCCTTGACCGTTGACTGGTCAAGCTGTTTCCCAATTCTCAACTCCAGTCCATCTCTGCATTCTTGATTAGCATTGAATGATATTGCAGAACGTAACATCTCAAAAAGGGATTTGCAAGGGATGAGTCCCTTATCTTGAGGTAAAGCTCTCTCCACAGTTTCTATGACTTCTCTCATGGAGTTTTCAATTCCGTGTGCCTAGCTAGCCACAAAAGCAATCTCAAGGTTTGATCTTTCAGGAGACATGCATGTGATGTAAATGAATCTGGCAGAATCAGTTGGTTAACAAGTTTTGAAATGAAATAAAATTGTTGGGGTTCTCTATTTTCATAGAGTTTGGTGAAGAATTAGCTGAAGACTGACTATATTCAAACTTGCAGAGCATAAGAATAGGATTTCTGTTATTTTATTCAGCTCTTCCATTTTTTTTGAGATAGATATAACAAATACCTTTATTTTATATATATATATAGAGAGAGAGAGTACTCTTTCAGTCAGGCCATTGTGACCAGAACCGCCGTCCGGACGGCAGCGTTTGGGCCCCTTCCCGGTGGAATTTTTAATGAAACTTTTTGGGCATGTTCTTCATTAAGTCTAGTTTATCCACAAAATATTTCAGTTAAAAATTCAATCGGGAAGGCAGTCAAATAATTTGTGAAAAATAACTGCGCCAAAATATACATATAAAACGCAGTTATCTTCCAAAAATTATTTAACTGCCTTCCCGATTGACATTTTAGCTGAAATGTTTTGTTGATAAACTAGACTTGATGAAAAACACTCCCAAAAAAATTCATCCAAAAATTCCCCTGGGAAGTAACCTAAACGCTGTCGTCCGGAAGGCGGTTCTGGTCCGGAATTCCAGACCTGAAGATTTCTAATATATATATATATATGCTTAAAATAGATAGATAAGAGATCAAATACAAACCATGTTTAAAATACTAACCTACAACCTCAATAATATGCAACACTTTGAACTTCAATATGCAATACAAATATTATGCAACACTTTGAACTTCAATATGCAATACAAATATTATGCAACACTTTGAACTTCAATATGCAATACAAATATTATGCAATACTTTGAACTTCAATATGCAGTACAAATAATGTAAAGATGCACAGTTTTTGATAGTTTGTAGGTTAGCATGAGAGGACTAGTTTGTATGTGATCTCACCCATATATATATATATATAATATATGCTTAAAATAGATAGATAAGAGATCAAATACAAACCATGTTTAAAATACTAATCTACAAACTCAATAATATGCAACACTTTGAACTTCAATATGCAATACAAATATTATGCAACACTTTGAACTTCAATATGCAATACAAATAATATGCAATACTTTGAACTTCAATATGCAGTACAAATAATGTTAAGATGCACAGTTTGTGATAGTCCTCTCATGCTAACCTACAAACTATCACAAACTGTGCATCTTTACATTATTTGTAATGCATATTGAAGTTCAAAGTATTGCATAATATTTGTATTGCATATTGAAGTTCAAAGTGTTGCATAATATTTGTATTGCATATTGAAGTTCAAAGTGTTGCATATTATTGAGTTTGTAGGTTAGTATTTTAAACATGGTTTGTATTTGATCTCTTATCTATCTATTTTAAGCATATATTATTTATATATATATATATATATATATATATATATATATAGAATTAGGTTCAAGTGAGAAAATGATCTTAGGAGAGAAATGAGAATGAATCTGGACCGTTAGATTGTATTCTGTGAAATTGAATGTGCATCAAGTGAAATTGAAATGTGCATTAGCTGAAATCGAAATGTGCAACACCAAAGGTAAGACACAGTGGTATTATGTGAAGCTGAATTGTGCATAATGGGAAACTGAAATGTGCACTAGATGAAACTGAAATGTGCAGAATAAAAACTACGATGCGGTGGCATTTTTGTGCCTTTTATTCTGCACATTTCAATTTCTCGTAATGCACATTTGAGGTTTACTTTTCTTTTTCACATTTAAATTTCACTTAATGCACATTTCAATTTTACCAAATGCACAATTCAATTTTACATAATACAATCCAACGATTCAGATTCATTCTCATTTCTCTCATGGAAGTCCTTTCTCACATGAACCAGTCCCTATATATAATATATATATATTTCATTTTGATTTGTTTTGTCCGCTTAACGATCACTTACCTGTGTTCGGATTATATACTCTAATTTTTTATAATCCGGCCTGGATTATTTTTTAATTTTTTTATTAATATTATTGCAGAAAAGTGATGGATAAAAATATTACGTAGTACTGAACATTTTTAGTTATTTAAGTTCAAAAAAATCTTTTATTGTATAACTAAAATATCCCTCCATACTAATTAGGAATAACTGCTACTAATTTTGAAACGCATAGACCAAGTTGATGCATCCCCACTTTCTTGCAGACAATCTCTTGCTGGATTTTTTCTCTTCTTAATTTATCTAAATTAACACTTTTGAAATTCTCACTCTCAAATATAAGGTACTCCGTAGTAAACAAGATCTCAGCTTCAAATATAAGGTAGTTAACATAGACCATATTAACTAATCATATGTATAGCATCCCCAAACACATACACACACATATACATATTTAGTCGGTAGGAAAATACAAAATTACTTGATCTGAAAACCATATTACTTTTACTAATAAATACCATTTCACATAAGGATTCATATTGTACGTAAATACACATGTTCACACATTATCAAATATTACTCCAACCATTACTATAATGGGTCTGGCTAAGACATTTTTTTTTAAAATCCACTTTCATATCTCCCATTGACTCCAAATAAAGGACTATTAGATTAACTTGTCTTATAATATTCTTTCCTTGCTTTTTTTAATTGAATTGGGCAGTTTCAGTCTTCTTGTTTACTAGAACAAATGAATAGTCATCAATCATACACGTGCTTATGATTACAGTAAGGGAGATCAAAAGAAACTAGACCAACTTTATTTATCTATTCCTATTACACGAGATATGACCGCAAGTGCATATCAAATAGTCTTATTATATTTTTGGACGGAAGGATGGGTATGAGCACGAGTCTTATAGAATACCAATACAAACATTATGACCAGACAGGAATGATGTCCGTAACCTCGTTTTGAGGTGGTTCCATGTGATATTTTTTGCTGAAATTTAGTGAATATATTACCCATGAAGAGTAGATTATGTCCATCAAATTTTAGCTAAAAATTCAATCAGAAAGGCAGACAGTGAATTTTTTGAAGATAACCGCAGCAAAATATGCATATAAATTGCGGTTGCTTTCAAAAATTTATTTGGTTGCCTTCAGGATTGAATGTTCAGCTAAAATTCGGTAGCCTGACGACACTCATATCCGGCCTGAACCACCTCAAGACGAGGTAGCCTAAAAATTACACATAATCTACACATGAGAAACATGCTTAAAAAATTACAGCAAAAATACCACCTGAACCACCTGAAGACATGTAGCCTGAAGACACTCATATCCGGCCTGGCCAGATGGCACTCCAGTCCGACTAGCCAGAAAGGAATATTTGTGTGTGAATCAAAATAGGGAAAATAATAAGGTAGATTCTATGGTACCTATACCTTTGTCCATGGACCAATCAAAATGATGTAGTTGAATTATTTAAATCTAAATTAAAAATGATGTAATGATTTGAACAAATCAAGTGAGTGTTAGGTACGGTACCCCATTTTTGAAATGGGTACAGGAGTTGTCACAGAATAATAATTATGGAAGATATAAACACTTACCGGAATCCAAATTAGCGACTCCAATTCACCTCAAGCTTGTTCTTCCCCAATTTTCTTTCTAATAACCATAAAGTCAGAAATTAAAAATTTTCACTCTATTCCTAATTTTAAATCCTACTGAAACTCGTCATTTAATTGAATTAATTTATAAGATTGAAGGGAGTGAAAATTAGGAGTTACCGATGGAAGGGAGAAACCAATTTGGCGGCAGGTTGAAGGAGGACAAGGAAGGATCGACGGTCTTACTGCCGGGAACCGAGAGAAGCAGGAGAAGGAAAAGAAAGCTTCGGTGCTTGGGTGCTGCATATTGTTGAGGAGCAGGAGTGTGTATCAATGAAGAGGGTTTGCCGTTGGAGTAGGCGCCACAAAAAGAGGAAAGAAATTAGGGAGAGAGTTGTTCAGTTCTATTGCACCTAAAGGGGAGGAATCGGTTTAGATCATACTCCGTGCTTAATAAGCCTTTCGAGTTCAGATAGGCCTAGAACTAAGTTAAAGAGAGCAAATTATCCTGTTTTATCTCAACATCCTCTTTTGGACGTGTCCTGCTATAATTTTTTGATGAAACTGTTTTAGCTTCTTCTTCATTAAGGCTAGTTTACTCATACTAAATTTTAGCTAAATATTCAATCGGGAAGGCAATCAAATGAATTTTTGAAAATAATTACGCAGTTAAACAGCGTAGTAAATTTCAGAAAACCATTTGACTGTCTTTCCAATTGAATTTTTATCTGAAATATGGTATGGGTAAACTAGACTTAATGAAAAATATGCTCAAAAAATTTCATCAAAAAATTTCATCGAAAATCACCCCAAGTGGCGACAGCCAAACATAGCCTCCTACATAAACGTTGATTTGCACTTGTTAAATTAGGTCGAGGGCCTATTTGACCCTTAACCTACGCCCTTTTAAACCTTTTTATGTGACAATGGATCTTATCAACAACCCCTTTCACACAAAAAAAAACTTGTGCAAGCCATTTCAAACATTTGTTATTGAGTTATAGGTTTGTCTTTAAATTTTAGTCTTATTAAAGGTTTTTTTTAACAAAAACTCCATATAAAATAGTGTGTTACTGATATTATTTAGAAGGAAATATTGAATTTCATTTTGTCTACTATATCAATCGAGTTTTTATAGATTTCATAGATCAAGAAAAAATAATTTTTTTTACAAATCTTTCTAAACTATTATAGTATATGTTCTGTTACGGCTAACATTCTTGAACTGGGATGGGATTCCAACATGTTACCTCCTCTTTGGAAGTGTCAAATATCATCAAATCATAAGGTACTTGGCAGATCAACAGAAAATAATTAAAAAGTATTAATATATTTTAAAAGAAATAAATTAAGACACACTCGAAAACTGCAAGAGTTGTTCTTTGCATTTTCAAAACATGTACCATAATATTGTTTATGCTTTTTATTACTCGTAAATACACCATAAACGTATTAAAAATAATCCCAAAATACTTTCTAGAATTTTCAAAGGAAAAAAACAATAGTATAAATAATTTTAAAACATTAAATATTTTGAAATTCTAAACATATGTATCACAAAGTGTTATGACATAAATAGAAGTATTTTTTCTAAAATATTACTCATGAAAAAGTCACGAACAAAAAATATAATTTAATAACTTTTAGTGACTATAATTTTGTTCAAATTTTACATTATAGTGACTACATCGTAGTAATGTAACTTTGAACACAATTATAGTACTAAAAGTTATTGATAGAGTAAATGAGAGTTAGAGAGAGAAAGTTTCAGGTATTAAATGATTTTTTAACCCCTGTAACTACCCCAAGTAGAGTATAGAGGAAATGTGGTTTGAGCTCCTAGATTTGAGTCTATGAGGCTGAATTACAGTGATGGGCCATTCAAGACTGTTTATACGGAATATTCTAGTAAGTATAGAGCGAAAACTGACTGCTAAAGGCCCTACTCGAGGAGACCATGCCACGGTGATGACCTCTTGAGCTAAGTTATTGAATCCTTCTTTGAAGTTCTTCATTTTTGGGAGTCCTGTGTGTGGCCCTCGTCTAGTCGAGGGGGGCCAATCGATGGGTACTCCAGTAGCTTATTAGTGTTTTTGTGTATCTATGAGTATGTGAACCGTGGGTCCGGACTCATATATTCTATCGGGTGCCAAGTCAAACAATTATCTACCACTTTTCAAGAATAATATCTGTTGTCGGTGATCCCAACGATGATCCGAAAAATCCACATTGGTCAGGGATCATTTCACTTATGCTTCCATTGACACGAAAGTCCGCGTACTAGTGACACTCATGCCCTTCCTTTTCCACTATGGCCTTAACGATTAGTGACTCGCTGCCACGCTCACCTTAATGCGCACCCCTCCATTAAAATATTTTAATACTCCCTCCGTCCCAATTTACTTACCCATCTTTGACTTCTCCAGTCAAATGTGGTAAACTTTGATCAATTATTTAAACTAATATATTTATGCAAAATTTAATAATTTTATACTTTTATGATAGTATTTTTAACAAAGAACATTTTCATATCATTTTCATATTATTAATACTTTCTCTATATAAACATATAATCGGTCAAAGTTAGACGTCATTGACTTGAGAAGTCAAGTTTGCCTAAGTAAAATGGGACGGAGAGAGTATATTTTTAATTGAGAAAAAGTAGTTCATAAAAAAAATTTTGGGTTTGCCTGCACTGATGGGAGGAAGAGGGACTTGTGCCATGAATGTAATCAAACGACTTTGATCTGGAAGAGAGTGATCAAACGACTCCAGAGTTGGACCAATAGATTCCTGTCTAGAGCTGGAAGAGAAATTTAGTTGAAGACTGTCATTCAGACTATGCCCACTTTTGCCATGAATGTTTTCCTTCTACCATACACTTTGATCTCTGAATTGAAGAGACTGATGAATGGGTACCGGTGGAGAGGTAATGATTTTACTGGAAAGGGCGTTAAATGGACAGATTGGAGGAAGATGTGTTTGTCTAAATCTCTGGGAGGGTTGGGATTTAAAAGATTAAAAGAATTTAACATAGCGATGTTGGGAAAGCAAGGGTGGGAACTACTTACCGAGCCAAATTCACTGGTTGGAAGGGTGCTTAAGGCTAAATACTACCCCCGAAGAAGCTGTTTTTTTTAGCAAATGGGAACTCTTTAATGGCTAGTCTCCAAAGAGCTTTCAGGTCCTTGGATGAGGATGCCTTGTGCCATTTTATCATGCTCCTTTGGGGCATTTGGAAAATGAGGAACGAAGTAGTTTGGAGAGGGGGGGCATGCTCTATTGCAGGTGCAAGGAAGAATGCTACTGCCTTGTTGAGCAACTAGAGATATGCGCAAGAACAAAACTCCAGGACAAGGGCAGACAAACATCAACATGGACGTGGCCTATAAAGCTCAGTCCGGAAGATGGGCTTGGGGGTGGCTAGGACGTGACAGCGATGAGTTTTTTATTTAAGCACGCTGTCGGAATAAAAAAGGCGGTGTGGTCAGTGCTGGAAGCGGAAGCGCTGGGGGTTAGGGAAGGTATTCTTTGGGCGAACGGAAAAGGGTGGAATAATGTGGTATTCCTTGGTCCTTGCCGGAATACATGGGGGGTGGCTCACAAGTTGGAATAATTTTTGAGGATATTAAAAGTTTACTTGAAAATGAAGGTAACTTTTCAGTTCAATGGTGCAGAAGATCAAAGAATCAGGCGGCTCATGCTCTTACAAAGGCGTTTGTTTCTATGAGTGAGTGTGATGTCTCTTTTGAGTTTATGCCGCATATGCTTGTAAGCCAGTTGGCGAATGATTTATTAATATAAGTTGGCGTGACTTCATTCAAAAAAAATGTAATACTTTTTTTACATTTGGAAGACATGTAACTTAGGTTTATAATTGCATTTCATTAGTCGTAAACACACCATAAAAGTACAAAAAATGAGCCATCTAAATCTTATTTCTCAAGTTTCAAATGAAAAATAAAGACTATGTAATAGTTTTAAATGATCTAGTTTAGTAAAATGGGTTCCATGTATGCTTTATTATCATGTAAGTTGGATTTGGTCTAATATGAGGCATGAACAAGTTAAAATATTTGTACACCATATAACTTTAGCTGTGAAACAATGACAATGAACGATAGCGTGCCTGGGTAGAGGGGTGAGCATCGAACAATTCAGAGATGGGCAATTGGAGGTTCAATTTTATCATGAGAATGATATTTCAGCATGATGGACCATGGTACTTCAATCAGACTTTAGTTATTATCAGGAGGGTGGAAGCGAAAGATAGACCACTAGAGGTAGAGATTGATCATGCATGCGGAGTTCTAGGTTCAGATTCATAACTTACCTCTAAGCTTTATGACAGAGAAAATGGTGACAAAAATTAATCGTTACTTGGGGAAACTGATTCAGATTGATGAAAGAACTCTAAAAAGAGACGGTAAGGAGTATGTTCGTGTTTGTATGAATATCAAGAATACGTCGAAAAGAAGGACACGAGACCGAGAAGAAGGTGATAGCTGATTCTGGGCGTATTTTGAATATAAGATATATAGTTTCAAGTCTTTGCTTCAACTGTGAAGTATTGGGCCATACTGATCGCTATTGCTCATCTAATACCAGTTCGGGTCGTGGGTGGGAGGGAAGGCTTACAGGCCTTGTATGATTGCAGATATGCGGCAAGAGCATGAAACAGAAGCTGGTTCTTACCCAGTTCGGGGACTTACTTCAAGGGGAAAAGGAAATATGAGAGCTGAGGAGGAGCAAAACCAAACTAAAGCCCTTGAGGAAGGAGTGTCTAGGAAATGATGAACATTGGATTTGTAGAATTTGGTGGATATTTAAGTCCATATGGAGTTTAATGAAAGCAGATAAAAAAACGACTCAACTTCGGTGCTTCCGGATCAGCATTGTCCAAAATACTGACAGGCCTTGTGAGCGAGGTGCTTCCATTGGAGGTGGTTGAGCAAATCTCTTCTTCTTTCCCAGTGACTCGTAAAATTGAAATGGCTTTTTTGGAGGTGATTGATAAATCCTCTTCTACCTTCTTGATGGTCGGTAACACCAAGAAACTTGATTTATTTTATTGATGTTATTTTAAGAGTTCTGGTTTCAATACCCATATTTTAGTAGCAAGTTCAGTTGTGTTGCGAGGTTAGCGAATATAATGGATCCTCCGGGGCTAATCAATTCTATGTCTCACCCTAGTGTAGCATTGAACTATTGTATTATCTTACCTCATGTTACTTTCATTATTAATAAATACGGAGTAAGTTTTTTCCCTTCAAAAAAACTGCATGAATAATTACTCCGACAGTGTACTTACTTGACCAAAACAATTCAGAAATGGGAAATGTGAAAGTTCCCCAAATATGACTAAAACAGTTTGAAATTTTCAAAATATAACTGTCATATTTTTTCCCCAAAATAAGAGTAATTACTACCAAGTTTAGAAAATACTGTCATGTTTGAAGTCTGGTACTGCCAAAACATGACAGTAATTAGTCTAATTTTAGAAATAAAAACATTATTACAATTCTATTTTGGAATTTCCACACATTTTTAGTTTTATTTCGGATAATATTCTCTTTTTTTCTCTACCGCGCCAAGAGAAAAAAAAAAGATAATATTCTCTTCTTTCTAACATATTCGGATATGTTCCAAGTAAAACAAGATTCGGACTACGGAGTGTATCCAAAAAGATCTATTACAAAAGAAAAACCAAAGAGGGAGATTTGTCCACCGACTCCACACTCCACATCCAATAATGGCCGCCCACATCCCCCGAAACGACGTCGCAAGAGCTGAGGTGGTTGCAGTGATGGTGCCTTTGCCGGGACAAGGCCATCTCAACCAGTTCCTCCACCTCTCCCGCCTGCTCACTTCCTACGATATACCCGTCTATTACACCGGCGCCGCCACCCACATCCGCCAGGCCAAACTCAGAGCCCAGGGTTGGGATCCCAACTCTGTCTCCAAACTCCAATTCCATGAATTTCCCACACCTCCTTTCGAATCCCCATCCCCTGATCCCAAAACTAGATTCCCTTCCCAGATCCTCCCGGCCTTCACCGCCGCCTTACTCCTCCGCGAGCCCCTCCGTGAGTTCCTATCGAATCTCTCCAAGAAAACCAGGAGGGTAGTCGTAATTTATGATTCTATGATGGCTTGGAATGTTCAAGACGTTCCGAGTATCCCCAACGCCGAATCTTACGCCTTCGAGGCCATCTCGGCTCTCTCGATTTACTTCTTCCACTGGGAAAGAATGCAGAAGCCTCCCCTGCCCTCGGAAGCTCAGGTGATAGAAGAAACTCCAGATTTTGAAAGCTGCGTGACTCCACAGGTTTTGGAATTTGTCAAGATTCAAACAGATGCCTTGAAATTCAACTCCGGGACTGTGTTCAACACCTGCCGGGTGATCGAAGGAGCGTTCCTAGACTTGCTGGCGAAAGACCCGTCAGCTGGAACAGGGCAGATATGGGCTATGGGACCTTTCAACCCGATAACCCTGCCCTCAGATGAACATCCTGGCGGCAATCGGAACCGGTGTCTAGCCTGGCTCGATAAACAGGAGAAGAATTCAGTGGTTTATATTGCGTTTGGATCTTCCACAACTTTACCGGACGGCCAAATCCATCAGATCGCCGTTGGATTGGTGCAGAGCAAGAAGAAATTCATATGGGTAGTTAGAGAGGCGGATAGAGTGGACGTTGCCGCCGGAGATGAAAGCAGCGCTGACCTGCCGGAAGGGTTCGAAGAGGAAATCGGAGGGATGGGAATGGTGGTTCGAGATTGGGCACCGCAACTGGAAATTCTCGCCCATCCTTCGACGGGTGGATTCATGAGTCACTGCGGATGGAATTCGTGCATGGAAGGGATTTCAATGGGAGTCCCCTTTGCGGCGTGGCCGATGCACTCGGAGCAGCCGTGGAACGCCGCGCTAATGACGAAGGTACTGAAAACCGGCTTACTGGTGCACGACTGTTCCCCTCAAGAAGTGGTCGATTCAGTGAAAATCGCAGAAGCTGTTGAGAGATTAATGGGGTCCTCAGAAGGTGATGCGATGAGGAGAAGAGCAGAAGAAATAAGTGGCGCCATCAAGCAGGCGGTGATGGAAGGAGGTGATATTTGGAAGGAGATAAATTCTTTCGTTGCACACATCACCAGAGAGTAGTGGTTACTCAGTAACAATTGTGTGTAAATTTTAAGCGGGGAAATCTCTTATCCACGAAATTAAAATGTCAGATCTTTATTTTTTAGATTTTTTAGATTGTAAATGTCACTTCTCAATTGTCCAAATTTTGTAAATGTTGTCCTTTAATTGGTGAAATGTACTCTTGCTCACATTGTATATTTCACCCCTCAAAAAGATCACATTTATGGCATTTTGGACAATTGAGAAGTGACATTTACAATCTCATAAATAAAAGTCTGAGATTTTAATTTCGTGAATAAATGCGATTTTCCCTTTAAACTCTACCTATGTTTGCCCTTTGAAGTTTGAATCTTTAAATAATACTGCGTATGTATTAATCCTATTTACATGAAAGTGTAGGGATTAAAGCATTTTTAATCCTATTTCAATGGGGTTTGAATGTTGAAATACGTTCTCTATATCAAGTGATGTGTTTTTTCAATTTTGTGTGTTTTGTGATTTAGGGAAAGGAGCTAATATATAAGCCCTACTATTTCTATGTAGAATAATACAATCAAATGTAACAAAATCACATGTCTCTTTGGTGACATGAAAATTAGTTGAATAGTCTGAATTTGCTTGCTCTTATTAAGTTTTGACCGAAACCACTAAATTTCTTGAATCTCTTAAAATTATGGGAAAATTATATTTTTCCATTCTGGGACCATTTTTAAAATGGTCCTAAAGACGGAGAGAGTAATTGAACTTGACATATACTACCTCCGTTCTTAAATAAACGCAAAATATAAAATTTCACATTAGTCACATGTTCTACTTTGAGTACGTTTTATTTATTAATGTATTAGTAATTTATTTTTAAGAATACTAGTAGCTCACTCATGCGATGCACGGAAAAAAGCTTAAATACATAAATAAAAAAACATTCTCAAAACACATAGTGTTGCATCAATTAAAAGAACTAAAGTTAAATAACAAACATTAAATCTACAAATTTTGAAAGACTTCTTTGTAAAAAAGCATTTGTAGTCTCTGTTGTGTTTTGTTCATCACCATCTACTAACAATTTTTTTAGCACTTTTCTATAGTTAACTTTGTAAAGTGCAACATAAAGCTGAGCATGAGAGAAAATGGGCTTCTTCAACAACAAAATACTCGTATTAACCGAAATATAAAGTTGACAATGAGAGACTTCTGAAAAGACTTTCAAAAAGCTTTTTGTCGTGCAGTTTACCCGTACGATGCACAGGCAGGCAAATCGCATACAATCTATTTAAAGAGAAAACAATGTGTATCAAAAAAATTATTCTAATTAAAGGAGAACAACTTTATAGTACTACTTGTAAACATTTTAATAACAAATGAGTTCTATAAATTTCAGAAAACTTCTGTACACACAATATTGGTTATCTTCTTTGTACTTTTCTCATCGTCATCCACTAAAAAAAATTAGTCATTTTCAATTGATAACTCTCGAAAACTTGCTTCTTTAATAATAATCCTACATGAGAAAATGATTGATCCTGACATTTATTAATTGTCATTGCATAAACGACTATTACTGAAAATTGTCTTCTATGAAATTTGAAAGGAAGCCTCATCTGAAGGCGTTAGTCAGATGAACTCTAACTTTTTAGAGTACTTATGTCCAAATCGACAAATAAATAAATAGTAATTTTGAATTGTAATATAAGCACATTTAAAAGTGTTTTCAAACTTCATTTGAATATACAAAAAGTTATACATCGTCTAAAACAAAAAGATAAAATTATACTTAATAGTAATTTCAATCATTTCAATTAGACTATATTTTTAGTCTGGTTCATTTGAAATAAAAGATAAGTGAAAATATGAGTTTATTGAGTTACCTCATTAAAAGAAAACTAATAAGTGATCACTCCATTCAATTACTTGACCAATTATTAAAATAATCCTTAGGTACATATAAAATTTGTGAGTAGTGAGTAGTTTGCATCTTCTCTTTTCTTTGACTTTGGATACTCTTTACCGACATAGACAAAATTTTCCTCTGGAAGATATTTTATAGGTGTTTTTGCAATTCTTCTTTGTTTTCAATAGGTTATATCTATCCATAAAGTTAAGATCCAATTTTTGAAAAAAAATTATCCAAAATTTGGTGCAGTCCAAAACTATTCACTCACAATATCAATTATTAATATTGACAATAATTATTGTAAAACAAAAGTATTTGACATTTAAATAAAATTCAAACCTATAGAATCATCATTCTATATATTTGCAAGTTCTTCATATTCTATAAAGTCATCATCTTACTCTCTTCACAAAAATCAGATTCATTCATCATTGGTTGTTCACCATCTCTCCCAAATCCTTCCTTTATGGGACGTGATAAAATGATTTTTTGTTTATCATTATTTGTAAAAAACGATAAGGAACATGTACCAACACTCAAAGACTTTTGATTATCTAAATATTGACACAAAATATTTCCCGATAAATGTGAACAATGAAAAAAAGTAAAATTGTTTTTAGTTATAGAATAGTTTACCATTTGTAATATTCGACAACAAATTTGGGTTCTACTGACGTTAACAAAACTATTTTGAATGGTAAAATAATTTCCAATTTTAGACTAAAAGTGAATTGAATAGTGCGACCAATTCGTTGATGCTTGTCACTCTCACAATTCACATTTTCTTCATTCTACATAATTAACCACTTAGAATAAATGTCAAAAGATACCCACCAAGTCATCATTTCAAAGTATGCCTACCTAACAACCTATTGAGAGTGTTCTCAATGTATGCACACTAACAAAAATCAATGTATGTGATAGCACTCCATTAAAAAAAACACTTCTTCGTAAAAATTCCTTCCAATTATTTTTTTGAGATGTCTCAAATAATTCTTTACATTTTTCGTTTTTGAAAATTTTTGTATGGCTAACCTTCATTTATCTTGTTATTGAATCACATCAAAATATTTCCATCTTTTTCTCACTTATTTAAACTATGACCCAAGTAAAACTTAAAAGAATTTTATGGGTGAAGGAAGTATAAGTCATATATACTGAAATACGGAGTACTACAAAAAGTTGTATAACTAATGGGCCAAGGCTAAACACTCCCAATTGGCCCAATGCTAAACAGGCCCTATATATCCGATGCATCGGCCCACGCTAAACAGTCCCTATGTATCTGATGCTCCTAGGGTTTGAACATGCATTCCAGACGGTTCATGTGCCATCAGTTTTTCCTTCTATCTTTACATTCTTTGTCGCCCCAGGCTCATAGAACCCAAACCAACTTTTTATACGTCGTCGGCTCATTTTTCTTGACATATACGATCGATTGACTCTACAATTATAAATCTGAGAATAAACTGAAAATATAAAAAGTTATTTAAATAGTAATCAATTAGTAACATATTTCTCACGATTTATAGTTTTCAGTTGGTAACTCAGATGAAAATTCACACAATCAGCTAATGCATAGTCTTTGTGGAGAGATGACGAAGAGTATTCATTAGTGCTATGTCAAGATAAATGAAATTTACACTTTTATTTTAATTGATTTTAAACAGAGTTGCACTTTTATTTTAATTGATTTTATTTTAAACAGAGTTGGCAAACCCATGGTCTGTTTCGTTTTGATTTTAAAATGAAATTTTAATCTGTCTCTAAGAAATACTCCCTCCGTCCCCTTTTAAATGTCCCATTTTACCATATTGGGATGTCCCTATTTAATTGTCTCATACCTTATTTGGTAAAGTTTGTGTGGCTCAAAATCATTCTTACTTTATTCTTACTTTATTTTTACTTTATCTATTAATATCAACCACACAAACCTACTTTTCTTAAAACTCGTGTCACCCTCTTCCGGAACATTTAAAAGGGGACGGAGGGAGTATATTCAAAAGGGTAAAGTGGTCTACTAGAGTTACATTAAGTAATTACTCCCTCCGTCCCCTTTTAAATGTCCCTTTTTACCATATTGGGATGTCCCTATTTAATTGTCACATAACTTATTTGGTAAAGTTTGTGTGGCTCAAAATCATTCTTACTTTATTCTTACTTTATTCTTACTTTATCTATTAATATCAACCACACAAACCTACTTTTCTTAAAACTCGTGTCACCCTCTTCCGGGACATTTAAAAGGGGACGGAGGGAGTACGTAGTAATGGTTTTATCTCCTATACGATAAATATTTGGCAAAACCATGCTCTATTTTTTTACCGTTATACGTAGTATAAAAAATTACCTTGTGAGATACCAAATACTACAACTTAGAAAAATATTAGTTTTACAAAAGATACTTTACAAAATCGGATACCAAATTGTCTAAATAGAGAATCTAAATAGCATTTAACCGCGAGGTTTGAATTTATATTTTAATTGTTTTCCAAACATAGTTAAATATTTATTGTATTTATATAGATTTTCATAGTGCTGGTATTTATATAGATTTTCTGTAATGCTTTGTAGAGGCATTGAAACGAAAAGTCTGTATTGGTAATTGTAATATTGGGACTGTCTAGAAATTTATTTTGCACGTGTGGATGTGCCAAGCAACTCTTCTGTTTTATTTTACCCAAGTATGATTTAATATTAATAGCGTATTACAGTGGAAAGAGCTTTGGAAATTGATAATGGGAATCCGAATCTTTTTTTAAAGTTCATCAGTTAAATAAGTTAATTGAAAAGATGCCCAATGGTGCCGAGGATGTATTTTAAGTGAAAAGTCTATCCAGATTCTTGCATCCACTCTTTGCGACAACATTAAATGACAATAATACAATTCGTTTCATTGTGAGACATTGCACGAAGTTGTTCACTGTAGATATTTACTGTAGATCTAGGCGGGAACACTGTGCAAAACCCATTTACTATTATATTATACGTAGTAATAGATATTGTTAACTTTGTTTCATCCTAAATTTTCAAAATCTGAATTTTATAATTTATTACTAGAAGAGAATTAAATGTACTAATGGTCAAAGTTGTGCATTGTCAAACGTGAAAAATAGAATGCATTTATTTAAGAACATATGTAGTATTATGTATCATAAAATATGTGGCAATTTCCGGTCAAATTTAGTACATTAATT